TGGACCTTTGGGGGACTTCTGTTGCAGAGAGTGATACCCCTTTATCTCAGGTCCCAGCGATCACCCTCTTTTCCAAGCAGAGCCTGCTCGAGGAGTTTGGTAAGTATGGATTTCACTCTTAAAACCTTCAAACCAGGGGCCTCCCTGGTGGCACAAAGGGTTAAGCACTGCACTGTGAAGCAATCCGAAGCCTCTGCAGCACGGAGTTTGATCCCCCACCTGCCAGGGAACTGACCCACATGGCACAGTAGACCTCTCCTGTCTTGCCTGCTGCTCCCCTCAGCAGTGTATTTCAGTTAGTCTGCCTGTTCTGCTCCCCACTCTCTCTGGTGAATCCTCTCACACCTGTACCCCTGCTCTTGTATGCATAAAGAAATAAATCTTTAAAAAAGAAAACAACCTGGGCCTCCCTGGTGGCGCAGCGGTTGAGCGCTGGGTTGCGAAGCTGCCCGCAGTCTCTGCCGCGCCGGTTCGATCCCCGGCTGCTCCCCGGCCACCGGAGGAGGGTCCCACATGGCGCGCAGACCTCTCCTGCCGCCCGCTGCTCCCCTCAGCAGTGTACTTCGGTCCTTCTGCCTGCTCTGTTCCCCGCTCTGGCTCTGGTGAATTCTCTCACCCTCCCGAGCTTCTGACTGTACCCAGTGCTTGTATAAATAAAAAAAAAAAAAAGAAAACAACCTTCAAACCAGGGCCTGGACTGAGCTCTGGGGATGGGCCCCGCCCCAGCACAGCCAAGTCCTATACCTCTGTCATCCCTCCCTCCCTCCCTCACCACCTAGTAAGGTCATGTGCTTCCACCCCTGGTCGGATGTGACGCTGCCTCTCATGTCAGTCCCTGAGATCCGGGCTGTCGTCGATGCATGGGCCTCAGTCACAGAGGAGCTGGGTGCCCAGTACCCTTGGGTGCAGGTCTGTGAGGTGGTCCCCTTTCCCGAATGGGCAGGAAAGGGGTGGTGCAGCTTTGCTTCTGGGGGTGGCATTCCTATTGTTACAGGTGTGATTACACCTGTGACTTTAGTAACTTTTGGTTACTTAAGTGCCCTAACCCTACTTGATAGATCTTTGAGAACAAAGGAGCCATGATGGGCTGTTCCAACCCCCACCCCCACTGCCAGGTAAGTGTGGTAGGGGCTCCAGTGGATTTCCCGGCTGAGTCCAAGCTAGCACTGTGGTGAGGGGAAATGGAATACAGGCAGTACAGAGGAAGTATGCTAGCGCCGTGGAGGCTTGGGGTGAAGGATCTGCCTGCTGGTCACTGTTCTTACTCCTTGACAGGTGTGGGCTAGCAGTTTCCTGCCAGATATTGTCCAGCGTGAGGAGCGATCTCAGAGGGCCTATCAGAGTCAGCGTGGAGAGCCCCTGCTGATGGAGTATGGCCGCCAGGAGCTGCTCAGGAAGGTGGGTGAAAACCAGGTTCTACGTCCCTAAGGAGCCCCTCACCTCACCTTAAAAGAGAGAGATGTGTGAAGGGAAAGAGTAAAAGGGAAGTTGCAGAGAGATTTGCTAGGAGGTGAGAGCAGTAATCTAAAGCAGAGACGGTGCTTTAGAGTAAGCTGATACTGGTGGAGGTGGAGGTGGTGAGAGGTTACGAGAGTCTAGGTACATTTTTTTCTTCTCTCCCTGCCTATTTGTTTACCTCCACACCTGCCTTGATGACCTTCTCACCATTTGATCTGTCCAGGAACGTCTGGTCCTAACCAGTGAGCACTGGTTGGTGCTGGTCCCCTTCTGGGCAGTGTGGCCTTTCCAGACACTGCTGCTGCCCCGTCGGCATGTGCGACGTCTGCCTGAGCTGACTGCTGCTGAGCGTGATGGTGAGTTTCTCAGCTGGGACCCTGGGACTGGCTCTGGTAGGGTCAGCCTCTGTGCCTCAGGCTAAGAGTCACGTTCTCATTCCAGATCTAGCCTCTGTCATGAAGAAGCTCTTGACCAAGTATGACAACCTATTTGAAACATCCTTTCCCTACTCCATGGGCTGGCATGGTGAGACTTTTTGAGCAACCATCTCTGGCCCCAGTACCATTTCTCAATCTCAGAGACCCACACCAGTGGACTGCAAGTCTTGAAACACTTGTTGGGGGAATCTCCAGAGCAGGGATGCTGGGACTGGGAGCGGAACAGCAAACCTGGTGAAACTGTCTTCCAGTGTATACTTTCCAGGGTCTGGGTGTGTGCACACTGCAGGGAACGCTGAGAGATGTAGATTTCAGGCACCTAGCCTGGTTTGGGGATGAGAATTAGGCTGAAGAACTAAGAAAGGGCCCTTCCCAGCCATCTCTGCCTTGTTCCTTTCAGGGGCTCCCACAGGATCAAAGGCGGATGCCAACTGGGACCACTGGCAGCTTCACGCTCATTACTACCCTCCACTCCTACGGTCTGCCACTGTCCGCAAATTCATGGTTGGCTATGAAATGCTTGCCCAGGCTCAGAGGGACCTCACCCCCGAGCAGGTCAGGACTCAGAGCACCCTGGATCCTCAGGTCTCCTTTCCTGTCTTTGGTCCTTAAGGCATCTCAGTAATCATGACTGAGAACCCCTAAAACCAGGGCATTCCCAGGGACTCAGGAGCTATACAACTCCTTCATTCTCTGGTGACTCCAGCAATCCTTGCCACCTGCTTCCTGGTGCCACCGCCTTCCCCTGGTGTTTCTTGGACATTCAGAACACTATTCTGGGTGGCTCTTATCCTCCCTTATTGGCACTTGTTCCCTTTCTAGGCTGCGGAGAGACTAAGGGCACTTCCTGAGGTTCATTACAGCCTGGGACAGAACGACAGGGAGACAGCAGCCATCGCTTGACCACACTAACCACAGGCCCGTCTGCCTGAGGGAATCAGGGACTATGGTTTGGGCAGATGTGGGATCAATAAAATTGTACTTTTCAAACTTTAATCACATATTCTAACACCAGAGGAATGTGAACTCTAACCCTTAGGGATCTAGGATTAAAGGCTGAGGGAACAGTTCTGACCATGACTTTCCTTTGCTTGCAGATGTACAAAAACTCAAGGATACAAAGATTTTACTACAAATCTGAACAAATTAGTAGTATTATGTCTGGCCTAAAGACTCTCTTACTTGTGGAGTAATGGAGAATGTCCAAGTTTAACAAATTACTTAAAAAATTTGTATTTTTTTTTTTTTTTAAGATTTTATTTACTGGGGCCTTTGTGGTGGCGCAGGGATTAAAATCTCAGCACTATCAAGCTATCAGCAGCACTGCAGCATGAGTTCAATCCCCATACAGGGAGCTACCCACATAGCACAGCAGACCTCACCTGTCTCACCCGCTTCTCCCCTCAGCAGTGTATTTCAGTGGATCTGCCTGCTCTGTTCCCCACTCTATCTCTGGTGAATCCTCTCACTTCCCATACCTCTGGCCTGCACTCCAGTTCTTATATACATAAATAAATAAAAATAAATCTTAAAAAAAAGATTTTATTTATTTTTGCATAGAAGACTTGGAGTATGGGCTAGAAGTGAGGGGGTGGTGAGAGGATTCACCAGAGACAGAGTGGGGAGCAGAGCAGGCAGATTTACTGAAATACACTGCTGAGGGGAACAGCCAGTGAGACAGGAGAGGTCCGCTGCACCATATGTGGGTTAGCTCCTTGCTAAGGATCTAACTCAGGCTATTGATAGGCCTAGGACACCTGGGAGGCCCCCAAATCCTATATTCTTGATTGTGACTAAGACTTTGGGAAGACCAGAGCCTTTCACCACCACTACTCCTAGGGTATCAATTCACCAAGTTTGGGTCTAAGTATTTGGTGGGGAGCGGGAGAGTAGGTTCCTGGTCTCAGTGGTCAGTGGCCAGACCCTGGGCCACTGGCCAGACCCCTGGCTTTGTGAGTGGCTGCAGCTTGACTGTGTTCCAGCCCACAGGGGCTGAAGGGGTGGGTTGGGAACGTGTACGTGGCTTTGTGTCTATGGCTGTTCCAGACCCCACATGCGTCATGCATGTGCAAGCTCTACACACCTCTGTTGCCCCTGTGTCCCAATCATTGCACAGGACAGAAAACAGCTCTGGTAAGAAAGGGACTGCCAAGCTAGGAGCCTCAGGGCCTGGAAACAGTGGGTGGTTCTCGGGGTGACCCTGGCAAGTCCTTTCCTCTAAATTTTTCCCTGGCAAGACTGAGGGTGCAGAAACAACAGACCATGCAGCCCAGGAGACCTGATACTGCCTGGCGTCCTTCACGCTTTTAGGTTTGGGTTTGTGGCAAGGCTGGTGAGCAATGTGAGCATGACCAGGATGCTTTTTGTCTCCACCCTCTGTCTAGGGAACCAAGTCTCTGGGAGGGAAAATCGTGCCAGGCTGGGCAGTGATGACCTGGCCCAGGAGAACCTGGTTGCCTGCTTTCCAGTCCAGGCCTCTTCCTTGAGACCCTAGAAGGGAAGGGCCTGGGTCTTGGAGTGCTGACCTGGTCTGGCAGCTCAGACAAACATGATACACATCTCGTGGGATCCCACAGTGACTGGGCAGTGGACGAGAGCCCTGGCTGAGTGGCTAGTTTCTTAAGACACATACACAGGAACATGTATACACACCTCACCCTAGACCTCTGATTAGCTGTATTTTCCGATCACTTGGGGAGTTTTAAACGGTACTGGTGCCTAGGTGCGTCCCTCAGAGATTCTGATTTAATTGGTATGGAGGATGGCCTGGCAGCTCTAAAACCACCATGTCCAGCAAAGTTTGAGGACCAATGCCCTACACCAGTCCTTTCTCTTATCTGGAGTCAGGGGCACCTTCAGCTCCGATCACCTGCCCAGTGCCTCCTGAGCCACTGAAATTGTGGCTTTATTTTCAGACAGCCAGGAGCAGTAAGAGATCTGGAAACGTCTAGTCCCATGGTCTCAGGGGAGGACAAGACTTCAGTCAAGGACCCAGGAATCCAGCTCCAGACTCTATCCCCTGCAGGCTCCTCAGTCCGGGGCAGGACAGGAAGTGTCCGGCAGAGGTGGGGGTGGAGGGGGGTGATTGGCAGTTGGAGGCTCCAATGGGCCGAGAACCCCCCCTCCATCACCCCTCTCCTTCCATTGGTGCCTGGGTGGAGCCGCCCCAACTGCGGGGCCCCAGGGCGGGAGGGAGTAGAGGCCAGGGGCAGAGGGCGAGGGCAGAGGGCGCTGGCGGCGGCGGCCGCAGAAGGTGAGGCCTGGTGGGTCTGGCGGGTGTACAGGAGGAAGCCTTGCCAGGAGGAGGCGGGGCAGGGGGGGTGAAAGAGATGAAGGCCTCTGAGTGACTGACAGACTGTCAGTGTGTGTAACTGTGGAGCTGTGTGTGACCATGTCAGGGGTGAGACTTTGAGTGTCACTTGATGCAACTGTCAGCTAATGTGACTGCGTCCGCCTGTGGCTGCACAGTGTGGGATTATGTGTGTATCTGTCGATGCGCAGTTTTTGGTGAGAGTCTGGTTGTGTGTTTGTGTGTGTGAGAGGGCCTGTGACCACATCAGGGAATGTGTTTTGGGAAGGTCTCTGTGGGGTTTCAGGCTGTGTCTGCCAGTGTGAGAGTGGGTGGCTGGGTTGGCGTGTGCCAGTGTGTGACTTAAGCAGTAGCAGAGCGAGAGTGAGCTTGAACTGTGTGTGTATCCTGTGTCCTAACTGTTAGACTCTGCGGGAGTCGAGTTGTTTTCAGCAGCCAATGGGACTGACATTTTTTAGTGTCCAACATTAACAGATCCATCCCCAGCACATGCTTCCCCTTTTTTGTGTGTTTAAGAATTCCTGTCACTGGTCTGCCTTTCCCTGTTTTCTAATTCTTTGACTCAATTTCTGTTTCTTTTTCTCTTCCTACTGCTGTCTTCCAAGAGTTATCTCTGTCTGTCTCTCCACAGTTTCGTCTCCCTGGGTTTCTCTGTGTATCTGCTTTTTAGTTCTGCTACTCCCAGACCTCTGCATCTCTGTCTCTCTCTGTGCCCTGTGCCTGCCTCTGCTGTCTGTCTGCATCTTGGCTACCCGGGTGCCTGCAACAGTGTGAGATGCAGGTCTGCCATTGCTGAGAGCTCCCTGGAAGAGGGGGCTTAAACCACAAGGAGGAATTGCTTTTGGGAAGTGCTGTGTCCCCACGCCAGGGGTGGAATCCTTGTGTGTGGCAGTGTGAGAGCAGAAGTGTGTCAGCTTGAGTGTGTGGGTATGTGGAAGTCTAAGCGTCTGAGTCTGATTGAGGATTCTGAGTGTATCGGTGTGACTGTATCTGAGAATGCAGGTCTAAGGGTAAGTGTGAGTCTTGTGTATCTGGCACCAGGGGACCAAAGGCATTTCCTGGTGCTGGGGCCGAAAGAGTGGAGGGGGAGGAGAAGAAGCAAGAAAGGGCTGGAACATCCAGGGGAAGGGGAACTAGATTCTCTGGCTTTTCTTTATATCCCCCAACCTGGGGCCTCCTCCCTTCCCCTCGAAACACAGGCAGCTGTGCCCTAAGGAAATATTTGCTGGAGAATGAAAAGGGAACCCCAGTATGTGTCTGACTGTTCAGTTGATTGTGTCCACGTGTGTTCAAGGCGTATCTTTTTGTTGACTGTGCTTGGTGACCCCGTGCATGAATGTGGCTGTGTTTGGCTGTGTGAAAATACAGGGAATCTCTCACTGACAGGGACACAAGCAACCTCCTCTCCCTCCTCTGGCCCTAACTGTGCCTGTGGCTTTCTTTCCAGACTGGGGGAGGCCTCTTCTCTTACCGTGGCCTCGGGTTGGAGGAGGGTGGGAAGAGGGGAGGGAGGAGGAAGGAGGGGGGAGGGGGCCTGGCTAGGGGTGGCTGAGCTCCAGGGCCCAGAGGGGCGGGGGCAGGGAAGGGGAAGCCAGACGGTTCTGGGGTCCCAGAACTGAGTGGAGCTGAGACGGTGCTGTAGCTGGTGGGAGGAAGTCCTGGAGGCCATGGACATTCGGCCACTGGGATCACCGAGGTAGGGTGGGGCTGAACAGGGTACATGTGGTTTGGGGCACAGGGGTGAGCCACTAACACAGACAGACACACAGACACATGGAGACCCCTGTTTCTGCTCTACTGGGGGAAGGGTCAATGCACTTTCTCTTCGGGAGCCCTCATCAGGCCCTCTCCCATCTGCCCTTCTCCTGTCCCCATGCCTGTTTCTCCATTGCCTTTCTCCTCCTGCCTTTCCCCATCTAGAATTCCTCTTTCCTAGCACCCCAACCCCCATACACACACTGTTGCTTACCTCCTTCTCAGCCTTTCTGAGTTCCTGCTACCCCAGTCCAGCCTTTGCCTCACTGTACCCCGCTGCTTCCCAGGCCTGATTCGTGAGCATCTCTTGGGCATGTGACCCCCACCTCGGGGGTGGGGGTGGGGGCCCTGTCCCTGCAGGCTCCCTGCTCTTCTCAGCCTCCTCTCCCCTCCCCGCCACCCTGTCTCCATCTGCTGGCTCCTTGCCCGCCCCCAGCCTTTGGCAGCAGCCAGGGCATCTGGATCTGCTTAACTCTGCAGCCTCAGCTTGCACCCTAGCCCGATCCAGGCTCTCAGGCTCAGGACCAACAAGATTCCAGAGTCAGGCCCAATGAGTGGCCCAAGTAGCCAGAGCAAGGAGCTGGCCAGAGGAGAAGAGGCTTGGCAGCCAGGCCTCATGGCAGGAGTACAGGATGGGCTCAGACCCACCAGTGACAGCCCCCTGCTCCAGGGTGAAGAGGCTGCCTTGTGTCAGTCAGAGGCAATGATTAGCCCTGGGTCAGGTGGGGTGGACACAAGAATTCCCAACAGCTGGATTGGAGGAGTTGATAGGAGTGATTGAGCCAGTGCCAGCTCTTGGTGCCAGGGGTGGGCGCCAAGGGTGGTGTAGGGAGGGTGGTGGTGTTGGCACAGTCTGTTGCCTCCGGCTTTTGTTCTGGGCCCTAAGCCCAGGACTGAGATGGAGTGTGTGTGTGTGTGTATGTGTGTGTGTGTGTATACACGCTTGGATCAGATCCCCCAATGATTTTTGTTATCCCTCTCTGACTTGGTCCCTCAGTTTTTCTCCCAGTACACCAGTTTGGGAGAGGAGGAAGCAGGCTTTAGCCTTCCCTTTGGGGTGCAGGGGATCTTAACCTTGCCTCTCTCCCCACAGATGAGCAGCAGTTGCTCAGGGCTGAGCAGGGTCCTGGTGGCCGTGGCTACAGCTCTGGTGTCTGCTTCTTCCCCCTGCCCCCAGGCCTGGGGCCCCCCAGGTGAGAAGAAGCCTATTTTATGACCCCAACTCTGACTTGTGACTTGCTGCCTTCACTGTGACTCCTTCCCAGGCCTAACCTGTGACTTCTAATACCTGACATCCAACCTGGCAGCTAACCCCCTGATAGAGGGGTCTTCTGACCTCCCTCTCACTCAGATTACAACATGATGGTTTGATCAAATAGCCCCACCTATGGCTTAAAAGTCTGCTCATAACCCTGTCCCTCTTACAAAGTGGGGGCCTGGGTAGGGAAGGGTGCGAGAGAGGGAAAGGAAGAGGCTTTCCTCAGAATTTCCTTTCACAGGAGTCCAGTATGGGCAGCCTGGCAGGTCCATGACATTGTGTTGCCCCGGAGTGACTACTGGGTAAGTGCCCCACCACCACCCTGACTCTCATGACCCTTTCTTGGCCTCACCCAGTCCTTATGCCCCCTCTTGTCCTTCCCCTGTACCTCTCTATCTGTTCCTAGCCCCAAAACCATCCTTATTCAACAGAAAATTTCAACTGACTGGTATTGAGCACCTGCTAAGTAACTGGCCTGTTCTGGGCTCTGGGATACAGAATTTGCTTCCTAGTGGGGTAGACAGATAATAAGCAAATAAGGACCTTACCAGGTAGTAATACCTGCAGGGCAGAAAATCAAAAGAGGCATGTGGAAGAGGATAATTGAATGATTACTTTTTATTGGTAATCAGGGAAGGCCTCTTTGAAGAGGTGACACTGAAGTTGATTTCTGAAGGTGAGGAAAGAGGCAGCCATGTGTAGCAGGGGTATAAGCATTCCTGAGAGAGGGACAGCTAGTACAAGTGCCCTGAAGTGGGACTGAGCACAACACTGCGGAACAGAAAGACCAAAGATCAGCGCAGTGGGTGAGAGGGGAGAGGTAGGAAGGAAGGTTTGGGCTGGATCACCAGGGACTGCTAAAGCGGCTTAAAAGGAGTTTGGGTTTTATTGCAAGAAGCCAATGGGACCTGTGGCATGGTCTGACTTATGCTTTGTCTATCATCACGTCATCAGGGCCCCGGTGTCCTGGTTTCGGGACGGTGAGCCGAGACTGCTCCAGGGACCTGACTCTGGACTAGGGCACAAACTGGTCCTGGCCCAGGCAGATAGCACTGACGAGGGCATCTACATCTGCCGGACCCTGGATGGTGCACTTGGGGGCATGGTGACCCTGCAGCTGGGCTGTGAGTTGGGGAGGGAGTCTTGGGTGGCAGTGATGAGATGCAGGGTCCCTGAGGGAATTCAGGCCCTGAGTAGCCCTCTGGGATAGGCTCCAGCTGTCCCCTCTGTCTCTAGACCCCCCAGCCCGCCCTGTCGTCTCCTGTCAAGCAGCCGACTATGAGAATTTCTCCTGCACTTGGAGTCCGAGTCAGGTTAGCGGTTTACCTACCCGCTACCTCACCTCCTACAGGTGTGTGCATGATCGGGTGTGTATGCCTCTACATTTGGGTGTGTTGGCACAATGTGGGTATGGGAGGCAGGGATGGAGGTCTCAAGGAAGGCCTCAGCGAGGGAGAGAGGACCCTCTTTTCCTTCCTGACCTCAGATGGTCCCCTCCCTGCCAGGAAGAAGACAGTGCCGGGAGCTGATGGTCAAAGGTAGGACATAAGGGAGAGGCTGGGAGCTCCAGCTAGAGACGGCAATAGGCATTGCCAAAGCCCAAGACCACATCCTCCCTCCTAGGATGAGTCCATCTACAGGACCTTGGCCATGCCCACAGGACCCCCCGGGGGCGGCCCGCTGTGTGGTCCATGGTGCAGAGTTCTGGAGCCAGTACCGGATCAATGTGACTGAGGTGAACCCGCTGGGGGCCAGCACACGCTTGCTGGATGTGAGCTTGCAGAGCATATGTGAGTATCGCCCATAGAACCTCCCCCCACTTCCTCACCACAGAGACCCCAAATAAACTCAGACTACAGCTATTCCAACACAGAACACTCCCCCCCAGAGCTCCCAGTTTCCTCCTAGTAGAGACCCCTTTCATCACACAGATGGCCTATATGGAGTTTGGGAAGCCAAAGAGGCCAGAGATCAGAGCTCAGGAGGCAGGGTTACCTCAGCGCACACTCCCTAGAGGCTGCCCCTAGAGCCCTCTCCAGAAGTCCTTCCTGGCTGCCTGGTCCCAGGACTGCCTCTCTGCTTCTAGGCCCTGTGGTGAAGGCTGCCATATTTCATGTCCTTTCTATGTGTGGAAGGGTGACATTAAAACCCTTCTGGAATTTGGGCTAATTCAACTTCTTCCTTGGATGGAAAGAAAAACCACTCTTTTATTCACTCAACAAACATTTCAAAAACGTGTCCCCAGATCTCATCTTATTTTATAATGTGCATGACTGCGCTTTAGCCTAGTGGATGATTAAGCTTATGATTTCCCCAGTTCCCTTGGAAGTGCTTCATTCAGATGCCATTAGGCACACACTCACCTCCCCTTGAGAGGTTCTGGGTAAGGGATGGGTACCTGTCACCTGCCCTGACTTGTGTCTCCACTGCTGTCAGTGCGCCCTGACCCTCCCCAGGGACTGCGGGTAGAGTCAGTACCTGGTTATCCCCGACGCCTGCGTGCCAGCTGGATGTACCCCGCCTCCTGGCCCCGTCAGCCCCACTTCCTGCTCAAGTTTCGGCTGCAGTACCGTCCAGCACAGCATCCGGCCTGGTCCACGGTGAGACCTGGAGTGTGTCCTCATCTGGGGCTGTGGGTCCTGTCTCTGGTTTCATGTTCCCGGGTGTTCTGTGTGGCTTTCCAGCACTGGCAGGTCACCAAAGCTATGTTTCCTCCCCCTACAGAGTGCTCTCCGTGGGCCAGGCTTGGTGCTGGGTGCTGGGGTGCCAGTGGGGACCAACAGATCCAGCCTTTGCCCTTCAGGGCTGTAACTCTGGTGTAAGCCTGTCTATGGGAAGACAGCAGTGACTTCTTAAAAATAACTTTTCAGGAAAAGGAGTGCCTTTCATCCAGAGGCATATCCTCATCAAACACTTATCTAGATGAGGTAGTAGTGAATATATCTAGATGAGGGTAGTAGTGAATTTCCATGTCTGGAGATGTCAGAGATTGGCTGGCATCAGTTCTGGGGAAGCTGCCTCCTTAGATAATAACCAACATCTATTGAGAGCTGCCTGCCTGCCAGCGACCTTGTTAACCCATTTTACAGGATTATCTCATTTAGGTGTATTTACCTCCATTTTAAATGAAAAAACGTAAGGCACAGAGAGACCCAAGGTCACCCACTAAAGGCTGCAGCAAGATTTGAACCCAGGCAACCTGATGCCACAGCCTGTTCTGTGTAACCACTATGCCCGTTTGTCTTCCGAACATAAAGTGTAGACTTGACCTCATCGTGAGTCACAACACGTGCTCTGCCAGGTTGATTGGGAGGAAGGGTACTCTTTGCAAACTGGGGCTGAGGTAGGCTCCAAGTTTGCAACAGAGAAAATCATCTCCCGTTCCCCCCCGACCCCACTCCCCCTTCCACACACACAGGTGGAGCCAGCTGGATTGGAGGAGGTGATCACAGATGCCGTGGCTGGGCTGCCCCACGCAGTGCGGGTCAGTGCCCGGGATTTTCTGGACGCTGGCACCTGGAGCGCTTGGAGCCCAGAGGCCTGGGGGACTCCCAGCAGTGGTAAGAGACAGAGCCACCTGAAGAAGGAATGAGGCCCCACCCCACAGTGCCTATCAGCTAGATGTGTTGGCGGGAGCTGGCAGCCTGGCACAGGCCGGGCCCATGCAGCTGTGGCATTGCGGTCCAGGCTTCAGCCTTGATTGCCTGCAGCCCCATCTAACTTAAGCCCTGCCTCTCAGCCTCTACCCCGGCTGCATTCCCAGAAGCTTTCGAGCTCCCCCTCCCTGCACAGCTGTATTGGCAGTTCTCCTCAGGTGTCATCTCCCTTCAGGGCCCCTGCCGAAGTCGATGCCAGCTGGGGCCCAGCCACACACACAGCGAGAGGAGGTGCCTCAGGAGGATAGTTCCACTCCTCCAAGGCCTTCCCTGCAGCCAGACCCTCGGCCACTTGGTAAGCTTGAGTAGATGGGAATGGGTTGTAGAAGACAGAAAGCCCCAGATAGAAGGGGTCACCAAGTTTGGTCAGATTTGCTCTCACAGTGGCATGTGACATTCCCCCCTCCTTAACCCAGATCATAGGGACCCTCTGGAGCAGGTGGCTGTGCTGGCGTCTTTGGGAATCTTCTCTTTCTTGGGACTGGCAGCTGGGGCTCTGGCACTGGGGCTCTGGTAAGTGACTTCCATTGGTCCCTCAGCCTCTGATTCCACACACTCTGATATCTATAAACCATCCCCATCCCCACCCCTCATGATTTCCCACTGAACCTGTCTGCATCTAGAACTTCTTCCCCTAGCTTCACCCCTATCTTCATGATTCTCGCTGATACCTCTCCTGAGCCTTTACTAATAAACCCTTTTGGAGGACTGAAATGCCCCACATTGTTAGGGACAGCTGCCTTTTTATGTCCCAGGCTGAGGCTGAGACCAGGAGGGAAGGATGAACCCCAAAAGCCTGGGTTCTTGGCCCCAATAATTTCAGTGGACAAGCTTCCAGGTGAGTAGGACTTACAGGAGGTTTGGACTTGGAGCTATGGTTCCTCATTTTGAGAGTCTAGATTAAGAGCCAGGTGCCCTAGTCACCTGATGTTGGGAATCTGAGCTAAAAGATCTCTTCATTCTTTTGATGTCTGTGTTAGGAATTGAGCTTTCATTTTTGAGTCCCTGAGCTCAGAATTGGATTTCTGTTCTCTCTTGCAGGGTATTGGGGCTCCTAGATGGGCTCCTTCCTCATTTTCAGGATGTTAGACTCAGACCTGGATATCCATCCTTATTCTTGGGGTGTCTTGGATCACAGCTAAGATCATTCTGGGCCAAGATCCATACTTACTATCTTCCTTATTTGCCTCCTGCTGCTTCTAGGAACGCCAAACCTGTAGAGGACCAGCAAGTCTTCAGCTGATTCCACCTATAACATTGTCTGGTGTGGATGGATGGACAGATAGAACCAGGCAGGACAATATATCCTCACGGAGGGGGTTATCTCAGCTTGATGTTCTGTTTGGAGCCCATTTCTGTGAATCTCCGTGTGCCAAACTTGCCAGCTAAAAGGTGCCGGAGCCCCTGATTTCATCCCAGAGCTGGAGATCCCCCTGAAGAATGTGTGTAGGTGTGTATGTCTGTGTTCGTGGGTGACTATGTGTAGATAAAGCAGGGAACGTGTGTTCATTGCATGCCTGTATGTATGTAGTTGCATGGGGAGTATGTGTGGCTCTTTGGCTCTTGGCTTTGCCCCTGGTGGGGGTCGTGGAGGTGTGAATAAAGAGAATGTTTATTGACATATCTCTAAGCTTCAGATTCAGGGCTCTCAGGAGAGGGCACAGTACTTGGAGACCACACTTGGAGACTATCTCACAATGCTACTTTATTATTTTGGTTCTTGAGGGCCCCAACCCATTTTCCTTTTCAGCCACAAATTCATATGGGCAGAGTCCCCCGGAACCTCTTCCCTTGGCGCTCAAGCCACCTGGCTAAGCTGCCGTTCTGGGGGTGGATGCAGACGCTGCGCCGAGACAGGTGAAGTCTGGGAAAGGAAAGGTTCAAAGTCATGGTTGTAGCTTGGGAATGAGGTTAGGGTCCAGGGTTAAGGACAAAGGCAAATGAAAACCTGCGTCAGCAGCAGAATTAGCAGTTGGGTCTGAGGTTGGGATCGGCATCAGTTGGGACTGATTGGCATCAGGGACGGGGTTAGCACTCACACAAAGGCCTGAAGGTGGCATTCCCCATTAGCCTCCTGTACTTCCACCCGGATAACTTTCCTCAGCAGCTTATTTGGCAGAGGCTGTCGGTAGAGCTGAGTGCAGCAGTTAGTGCTGGAAGGCAGTGGCAATTCTAAGAGACAAAGGCGCCATGTGTTCTGCGGCTTTTCATTCAGAACTTCTCCATCAGAATCCCTCCAGCCGGAGGCTAGGTTTCTTGAGCCCCTCCATCCCATTCATCCAGGTCCCAAGCACTCACCTTCTCCATGGTCTGGGCTCAGGAGCAACAGTAGCATCAGGAGGCTGTTGGTAGGTGAGAGTCCCTTCATGCTGCTTAGCTGGATACTCCCCTCTCTCCCTCCTACCTTTTATCTAGGTGCCTGTTCCCTGGGGCACCAGGTGAGTCAGAGGCAGGTGAAGATGTACCAGTTGCTCATTCTGTGGCATTCCTGGGTCCTAATTGCCACAATCCACAGAGCCCCTCTTCTTCTAGGGCTGCCATTTCCCATGTGCACCTAAGCTGGGCAGAGAAGCTGAGGAGAGGGCTAGGGCTTAGGGTGTCACCTCATGGGGCAGCAGCATTGGGAGTGGTGCGGGATGAAGGAAAGACAACTCAAAGTCCAAGTGAGAGAGAGGCCTAGAAGGGCTACCACTTAAAAAAAGTGCAGCCCCGGGCCTCCCTGGTGGCACAAGGGGTTGAGCACAGCACCGTGATGCTGTCCACAGCCTCTGCAGCACAAGTTCGAGTTCCATCCCCAGCTGGCCAGGGAGCTACCCATGTGGTGTGGCAGACCTCTCCTGTCTCACCCGCCGCTCCCCTCAGCAGTGTATTTCAGTCAGTCTGCCTGTTCTGCTCCCCACTCTGTCTCTGGTGAATCCTCACACCTCTGGCTTGTACCCTAGTTCTGTATGCCTAGATAGATAAATCTTAAAAAAGAAAAAAAAAAGTGCAGCCCGGATCTATGGCAGTGTCATATTTAGAACCAGGTTCAGAGAAGGTGGGCAAGAAGTACATGGAGTAATGCACATGCGTGGGAGATGCATCACCCTCTGGTGCAAGCTAGGGTGGCGTGACCAGGGGCTATTGCTTGGGGAGCTCCACAGTTGTCCATAATCAAAGCTCACGATCTCTAATTCCTGTTCTTATCTAACTTTCTGCTAATCTTTACAATTAAGGTGTTCTAGCTGACCTTGTTGATCTGGCCATAAAGTCTGCCTGCTGTTTTCAGCAGATACTGGTTTCCCAGTATATGCCTCATACCAGGACTTTTGCCCTGGTGAGAGGCCCCTGCATGACTCTACATTTTAGCTTGACCAGCAGGAACACTGGGCACCAAGACAATAGCCCTGATAACAAAGAGGCCTGGGGATTCCACATCAGGGACTTACAGTACAGTGACTGCAAGGATCCACAGTGGCGCCCAATGATGGATATTCACACTCACACACCCCTAGCTACACATTCATAGTCACACTTCAGTCACTCCATCAGCCTCACATGGCCAGACAACCACATCAGAATCATACAAGCCCAGTGCACTCAAAGCCCTACTCCGACACATTTGTGTTTTCACAACCATCCATCACACATCCATATTAGCACAGATTCTATAGGGGTGATGGGGTGGGTGGGAGCAGAGGGCAGGCCAGCATCAACTTGCCTTCATGTTTCCTTCCCCACTTCTTACTCTAGCCTGCCTACCTTATCAAGAGAAATTGATGGGAATGGGTCCCTAAAACAGACCCATGGGCTGATAAGTCTTGGCTGGGACCTTGGCTGGGACTGGCCACATTGAGTGAGAAGCTAGTGGTATTGCGTGGGTGTCTTGGGGATGGTGAGGTAGGGACTACTTTTCCCAGGAAGATGGAACAAGAAGGAAGCCAGACGAGGCCAGGTGAGGGAAGATAAAATTCTTTAGTGCCAGGTTACTACTGTCAACAGGTAAAATACACAAATCTTATCTTCCTGTTGTTGCCTAGTCCTGTCCCAGGAATGTCAGCCTCTTGCCAGCAGGGGCCTGGGGTTCCAAGACTCAATCACTGGTTTATTAGAGACATAAGACTCAAGAGCTCAATTACCTCTCTTTTGTCTAGTCAAATTCTAGCCTCTTTCCACTGTGGGCTTGGAGGAACATCCCTCCTCACCAACGTCCAGTGAAAGCCCACATCAACAACCCCTGCACCCTGTGCATCCCATCCTCCTGCAAAAGCCCCCCAGTCCCATCTCCTTCCTGTGCCTTCCATCCTAATTCTATACCAAGCATTTATTTCCCTCTTCCCTTTCTTCCCCCTCCCTGCAAGTCAAAATTCCTCCTCCACCTCCAGTCCTTTCCAGGAAGCTGGGGACTGCCTAGGGTGGGGACAAGCTGCTAAATTTAGGTCCCCTGGCACCTTGAAGAATCTCTTACTCCTGATCTGGGGATTTTAGCCCTCCAATCCTGCTTGGCATTTGAAACATAAGCTGAGTCATAACCCAGTAATCCAGATCTTGTCTTGTTGCAGGGGTGCCTTTGAAGCCTGCTCTTTGGTGAGCTACCCCTGTGGTACAGGGCTGCTCTTGGGACAGGGATTCATATCTTTTTCCCTGGCATCTCTTTCTGCTGCAGAGCTGTGACGATTGGGGGGACCTTCAGCTCCTAGTGTAGGGCTAGTTCCCCTCCCAGTCTGAACAGCTTGAATTTTTACTCCCTCCTGTCCAGGGTGAGGTTGAAGGCCCTTTCCTGGAGTTTTTCTTATTGACACTAGGTCTTCTCACATTGTATTGTTGAGGTGTAGCCCAGGACTGGACAGGGCACTCTACTTTTGAAAGGGTTCTTGATGTAGACATTGTGAGCAAGTGGCTCAAGAGCCTGGGTCTTTTCATGAAAGTGGTCACAACCCAGAGGTCACTGTACTTGACCTCTGGATCTAGGAGTCAAGAAGTTCAAGGAGTTCCCTTTAACTTCTAATACCAGAGGCCATAAATTCTTTCTTCCACCCTCCAGTCTGGACTTGTGCCTCAGAGCTTGGATATAGCCATTGAGGTACCATCATCTTGTCACAGGTCTTCTTCATTAGCTGGCTGTTTGCCACACACTTTATGGTCTTTCCTGGACTTTTAGTCCAGAGACCTAGGAAGGCAAGAAACAAATTCATCTGAATATGTATCCATTTCCCCCCTTTGGTTTCTCCAAATATAGAGCCAAGTCTTCTCTTCAGCCACAACCTGCTATAGCAGAGGCAATCCCAGGCTGAAAGTTAGATTCCTACCTTGTCTCCTTCTCCATCCCCCAACACACAAGGCTGTGTCTTTAATCCTATGGTGTCCTTTCTACTGTTGTAGCCAGTCCCTAACTGAAAGCAGACCCACCCAGGAGTCTCTGACCATTAGTACTCTCAAGCCAACTGGGTGACAAGACAGAAGGCAGGGCCTCTCTGGTGGTGCAAGGGGTTAAGACGCAACCCTTAAAGCTATCCTCAGTCACTGAAGCACAAGTTTGATCCCCAGCCTGCCAGGCAGCAACCCACATGGCGCAGCAGACCTCTTCTGACTTGCCCACTGCTCCCCTCAGCAGTGTACTTTGGTCAATCTGCCTGTTCTGTTCCCCACTCTGTCTCTGGTGAATCCTCTGGTGAATACACACACACACACACTCAGGCCTGTACCCCAGCTCTTGTATGCATAAATAAATAAATCTTCAAAAAAAAAAAAAAAAACCCAGAAGGTAGTGGCAGGGACTGGCCCTTGGGTTCTCCTGGGGAGGTAAGAACAACTACTAGATGTACTGATGTCAGGTATCTCTAAATTCCAGGGATCAGACTGGAGTAGCTGGAAGTTGGGGTATTACCTGCAAGAAAGACCGCCCACACTTCCAAGTCACTCCCTTGTGGCAGACAGAGGGAGATGGCATATATAAACTGTTCCTTCCTCTCACAACCTACTTCTTACAACTCTGGGTTTAAAATTCTTTTGATACACTCCTGGGAAAAGTTGATTCTTCAGATACTCGGCAAAGTCCTTGTTAGGAGGAAGGTGGCAGCAGAGCTGGGGCAGCAGAACACAAATGTGGGGATAGAGTTGGGATGGCTGACCAGGCTAGACCGATTTAGATGCCCTCCCTTAGGCAAGTCACAGCGATGGAGGTGTGTGTGTGAGGAGTGGGGGAAGAGAGTGCAGGGCAGCCACGAATAACAATGGGGAGGTGTGATCCTGTTGAGAGCCCCTTAGAAATAACGGTGGCAGGCAGGGCACCCTGTCAGAGGGCGGCGGGAGGTTCTGTAAGTAAGGAAACAGCTGGCCTGGGGAGGAGCACCCAGCCCGAATAGCAGCAGCGGCGACAGAGTCAGGAGGGCAGCAAGTGGCTTTAAATCTTTAATGCACCGGCGGGCTGGGCAGTGGCGGGGGGGGACGGCGGGGGAGGCCGCGACCCGAGCGCTGGGGAGCTGGGCCCAGGCCGCTTGACAGACAGCTCATCAGTCCCCGCAGAGGCTCCAGTTTCTGCTCCCGGGGGTGCGCCGAGCTGCGGGGCGACCCGACACGGCCGTCGGGTGGGGCCAAGGCCCCCGAATTCCCCCCACCCCGGACCCCCGCCCCATCCGTCCTCCGAGACTGAGCCTCGCGCAAGCCCCGGGCGCCGCCGCGGTGTCAGAGCCCCTCACCTCCGCTCCCTCCGCCACATGCGCAGCCAGGGGAAAAAGTAGAAGCAGCCCCAGTAGATCCTGCGGAGAGAGGGCAGGGCAGGGCCGGGCGGGGCGGGCTGACCCCGGAGACTCCGCCCCCCGGAGGCCGCGCCCCTCCCACGGAAAGCCCCGCCCACAGAGGGGCGGGTCCTCCGCAGCCCCGCCCCGGCCCCGCCCCTCGCCCCCGCCCCCAGAGGACTCGCGCCCTCCCCCCCCCCCCGCGCAGCGGCGGGCGCCTCCTCCGCAGAACCCGCCTCCACTCACTCCTCCTCCGCCTCCAGCGCCACTTCGTATCGCCTCAATCCCGACATGTCCCGGGCTCCGAACGTCTCCTGGGGAGCGGCAGGATCGGATCAAGGACTCCCCCAGCCCAGGTGCCCTTCCCTGACATGCTGAGGCCCGGTCGGTCTCGTTTATTTTCTGATCAACGGAGGCCGGCGCCCCGGGGGGGCCCCAGGTGCCGCACGGGGTGGGGCTGAGGATTTGGGGGGCTCTGAACCGTCGGGATTGGGGGGCTGGTCATTTTAGGGACCTGGGACATTCAGGGGGACAGGGCGAGAGGCTCGGTGGCTATGAGGCCGGGATATTTGGGGGCCCGGGTGAGGGTTTTCGGGGGCTGGGGTCACCTGGAGGGGGGCTGAGGGGTCAGCGCAGCCTAAACTCCCGCCCTCCCTGGCTCCGCCCCGGAAACAAACCGTTATCGTGACGTCACAGGGACTCCGTCGCGCAGGAGGGGCGGGGCCCGCCTGGTGCCCGGAAGGGGCGGGGCCAGCGGCCTGCGTGGAGGCGGGGTCAGTGTCACTTGAAGGGGCGGAGCTAGCGCCTGCAGCACCCCTAGCTAGCTGAAGCTCCGGAATTGGGGTTTATTATTAAGATGCGGGGCACAGGCCCCTCCTTTGCACGGATGGGGTTAGATTTGGGATCTCCACCCTGGGAGGGGGACATCTGGGCGCCAGGCAGCAAGAAGAGAACTTTGGGCCCTGTCCAGTGCAGATTTCCAGTCGCCTCTTGGCTTCTGCCCTGCTCATTTGCCTTTTTTTGTCTGCTCCAGTTCACTTGTATGACCCCGGAATAAGGAGGGTTAGGCGTCCGGAGAGAGTCCAGTCTGGGCAGACCAGGTTACAGAAATACCTGTTGGCCGAGTGGCGGTGGACTAGTCCTTTAATCGCCAGAGGGTTACAGCCCTCCCTCTGAACTGAGCCCTACCTGCCTGGGATTTTTGTTTCTACACGCATTCAGACAGCAAATGTTTATTGTCACTTATGTGCTGGGCGTGGAGATACAGCAGTAATGAAGACAGGCTGTCTTTCCCTCAGAGAGCGTATCATGTGGGCTGGAGATGGAGGGATGGAAAGAGATGATCATAATAAACGTAGCAGACTGGCAGGGGAAGTAGAGAGTGTTATGGTAGAGCCCAGAAAGAGCAACTGATCCATGTGGGAGATTAGCAATAGCTGCCCCAGTTGGCTGGGGAGGGAGGAAGAGAGCTTGTGGCTGGACTCTAGGGGAGAGTGACCAGAAATGAGTGAATTGAAACTTCTCCAGCTCAAGTGTGGATACTGGATATGCCTACCCCCCTCCCCTCGCCTCCCATCCTCTTCTCATACTTGTTTTCCCTTGCCTGGACCACAGATGGACAAATGACTGACAGATCTGTGAGTGCCAGTTGGGCGTTACTGGAAGCTTTGCCATCTGGGTATGTGGAGAAGGTCTTGCCACACCACACTCACAATCACATTGATCCCTCGGGACCTGCCCGGCAGGCTCAGGTCTGGTGCCAAGGAGCTGGAGGGCTGGTCCTCCCTTCAGGTCTGTGGTTCCTCAGGGCCATGGTGATGCACATCCCCTCACTCAGACACAGGGCTCCTTCTGGGACAGTTGTGTGCTGGCTGCTGTGGTGCTTGTTCTGGGGGAGGGAGGTCAGGCAAGGTCATGGGCTGGGGTCTTGGGCAGGGTCTCAGAGGGAGGAGGTCAGGCTAGGGAGGGTCAGGCTTGCTTTGGTAGAGTTCTTCTGCAGTCTCCAGATGATGTGGTTCACCTAGGGCTGGTCTGGGGGTGCTCAGAGCTGATGACCTTTCAGCATGGTGAGCTTGGAGTCAGAAAGAATAAAACAGCACTGGAACACAGCTTCCCAGAAGCTGAGGATCACGTATAGGAACCTGTTTTAGTGGGTTATTTGTGGGGAGGACTCAGCAGGAGATGAGAAATGAGATGGTGAGTGTAATCCAGGTGGTGGAGGAGGTGGTTGGGAGGGAGGAGCCTACTCACCGTGCTATGGTACCCTGTGACCATCCTTGAGGAGGAGATGGAACAAAAAGGCACCAGAAATGTTCCCAGGAATTGGGATGTTGGTTCATCAAGAGACAAAGTCTTCAGAGTTGTCAGCTCTCAGAGCCGAGGGTTGGTGTTAACATTAGGTTTGAGGGACCATAGGTGGGAAGGTCACACCCATGACTGGAAATCAGGAAACCTGTGTTCCTCTCTCCCTCACCCTCATACTCCATCCTCTTCCTTTTCTGGAAGCTCAGGCTAGGGGAGACAGAGCCTCTAGCACAAAGGGCAGCCAGAGGCCCTAGGATATCAAACACTGATACACATAGAACAGCTAGAGTGCACACACTGGTGCACAGGAAACAGGAACACCTGCATCGCACACCCTCCCACCCCCACCCCACGCCACATAGGAATAAATGTAATGCAGTTAGATCCACATTTACACAGGAAGGCACACTCACAACGGAACAGCCATTTGGTACATGTACACTCTCATGTTCACAGATACACTTGGACCTGAATGTTGACCGGAACTCAGTCTCCTTCACTTGAGACCAATGCACTGATTCTTGCGATGACTTCACTTTACCATTTTATCCCCTTCCCTTTGCAGGGGCACCAATTAATCCGTATGCTGAGGAGGAGCGGGACTGCACAAGAGGCCATGGAGATGGATAGAGATGGACAAATGGGCAGACTCTGAGAGCAGCAAGTGTGTGGGTGGCAGGAGACCTGCTTGTGTGGAATTTGTGCAAGACTGTGTGTGAGGCTGGATGGGAGAGGGGAACAGAAGAGTGACGTGAGGGTGCCTTTGTAAGCCTGTGTGAGATGGTGGCTATCTCCTATTCATAGCTTCCTGAAGCTTTCCTTTTTTATGTTCAGAAATTTCTTCCCTTCTGTTGTATCCTAAAGAATTTGACTAGGGCCTCCCTGGTGGTGCAGCAATTGAGCGCTGGGCCGCAAAGCTGCCCGCAGCCTCTGCAGCGCCAGTTCGATCCCTAGCGAGGGTCCCACATGGCACAACAGACCTCTCCTGCCGCACCCGCTGCTCCCCTCAGCAGTGTATTTCGTCAGTCTGCCTGTTCTGTTCCCTGCTGTGGCTCTGGTGAATTCTCTCACCCTCCCGTGCTTCTGACTGTGCCCAGTGCTTGTATAAATAAATAAATAAATCTTTAAAAAAAAAAAAAAAGAATTTGACTTTGTCCCTGGTTCTTGAGAGGGAGGCTAGGTCTTTGAAATTTCCCAAGTGATAGGAATGCCTTTCTTATTTATGAGCCCCTTGGATCACACCTGAGTTTATGTTGAGAGATGAGATGGTATGATGGGGCCTGGTCACCAGAAAGACCAACCACGTGATAGAGAGTTGGGACTTAGAGCCAGCCTGACCTTTAGGGAGGGAAGGAGAGCTGGTGATGTGGCAACTGTCCAATCATGACTGTTATATAATGACATCTCCATAAAAACTCTGAACACCAAAGCTCATGGAAGTTCCTGGTTGGTGAAAACATGGTGTGGTATTATGATTTGTAAGAAATATTTAGTTATTCAAATGACCAAAATATATTTTTCATACATATTTGGTCCTTATTCCTTATCCACAGTTTCTGGCTCACAGCTCCCTGAAACCTTGGAATTTCCTAGGTGTTCAGAATGATAAAGGTGTGCCTTTTTATGTTAATGAGGTAATTTTTTGGGACACTAAGTTGGAGTGAGAGAGTTGGACCTTCCAGTTTCACCCCAGACCTCCCAAAAGGAGGAGCTTCAGAGAGCTTCCTGGATTGTGAGCATGTGGAGATTTGGGGAGAAGGTGTGTGGAGAAGGCATGGAGGCTCCCTGCTCTTTGCCCGCACCTTTCCCTATGCATCTCTTCCATCTGGCTGTTCCTGTTTATCCTTAGCAATAAATTGGTGACCTAGTGAGTAAATGGGTTCCCTGAGTTCTGAGAATCACTAGCAAATGAATCAAATCTGAGGAGGGGACCTTGGGAATCTCTAATTTATGTAGCCAGTCAGTCGGAGGCCCAGGGTATATAGTCTGGGCTTGCTACTGACATCAGGTGGTCTTGGGAGACTGAGCCTTCATTCTGGTGAATTATTGAATCAGAGGGGGGTTGTGGGAACCTCCTGCAGTTGTAGCCAGTTGGTCATAGATGTAGTGGCCTAAAGATCCCACTTGTGACTGGCACTCATGTTTGGGGCAGGCTTGTTGAGGACTATGCCCATCTGACAGTTCTGAGTGGTCAGTGTCCAACTAGAATTGCGCACATCAGTCTTTTCATATCTTCCTCTCTACTTACTCATCCATGTTTAACCATTATCCATTTATTGATGTACGACATCACTTGAAACACCAGGAGGCCTCACAAACCCTTCTCAGATTCAATAATTCTCTATAATGAACTCACTTATTGATGTATCTATTCATGTATTTATCAGTGATGGTAATAATTAACATTTGATGTTTAAGTGCCATAACTGGTAAGTGGATGAATGGCTACATTAATAACTGGACAATGGTTAAACGTATGCTTCAGCCATATGCTTTATGCTAAATGCTTTAAATTCATTGTCTCATGACAAATCTGTAGAGTGCTATGAGAAATGTTTTTGTTTGTGCAGATACTTTTCTGTACTTTTAATGGTTCCCTTAGAAAACTTCTCCCCCACTTCATGTGGTCTTGGGTCTGTCAACCACCGTGCTCTGCTCAGAGAACCCTGTTCCCTGGCCACCGTAATGTAATGGGAAGCCAAGTATGTGTCACACATGCAGCTGATCAGAGCTTTTCTAGAGATGTTAGGAAAAATAATGCCACCCGGGCCTCCCCAGTGGCGCAGCGGTTGAGCGCTGGGTTGCAAAGCTGCCCGCAGCCTCTGCGGCGCCGGTTCGATCCCCGGCTGCTCCCCGGCCCCCGGAGGAGGGTCCCACATGGCGCGTAGACCTCTCCTGATGCCCGCTACTCCCCTCAGCAGTGTACTTCAGTCCTTCTGCCTACTCTGCTCTCTGCTCTGGCTCTGGTGAATTCTCTCACCCTCCCGTGCTTCTGACTGTACCCAGTGCTTGTATAAACAAACAAACAAACAAATAAATAAATAAATAAAATAATGCCACCCACTATAAAAATTTAGACTTAAGGCTGGTAGTGGCCATAATAGCAGATATGCTATTGTGAAGAGCCTGTCTGTAACAGGAATGAGGCCCCCACACAGAAAGAATTAGAAGTTAAGAGATAGAGATAACATCATTTAAACTCTTAGCAGGATTCAAGTAAACTAAATCTTAATGGAGCTTGTTCTGTTATATCACAAATTTATCTTTTTGCTTAAACTACTTTTAATTGGGTTTTTGTGATTTGCAACAGAAATAGTCCTGGATGATAATGCTGTAATATCCCATTTCATGGGTAAGGAACCTAGA